AAAATTGACATACTCAGAATCTGCACATTATGTGTGATTGTATCATAACTCTAAGGCTTTCTTAATTTTTTATTCTTACCTGAATAACTATTGGTCTTAAGCTTGGTAATGAAAACCACTAGAAGACCTCCAGACTCCTCTGGTTTCTATTAGCTTGCAGGCAAGGACACTCTCAGATACAAATACTAGTATGCATAGGTATCATCAGAATGGCTGAGCTTTTAAATACTGTATTTTCCAAAGTCAACCACAGAAATAACTAGATAATCAGAGTTTATGCAAGATTGGGTTTTCCTGAACTAAGGTAAAATAACTGGGATTTCCATGTACTATTTGTTTTGCAACTTTTCTAAATATTTTTCTTTTTGATTGGTATAATCAAAACATATTTGTAAACCCATCGCCTTGCAGCCCCCCTTTTTGTAATGATTCCAGGGCAGGATAGGAAAGCCAAAGCTCGGATATTGAATATAGCAGTGTTTTTCAAACTTGGCAACTTTTAACATGTTACTGGCAAATGCTGGGAGCTGAAGTCCACACATCTTAAACTTATAAAGTTTGAAAAACATTGCCATTTAGTCTCCAGCACCTAAAATGCTCTGGAATTTTACCATAGTTTCTAAAAATCAGTAGCATAATTTTCTGAATTTTGAATTGGGAAAGACAAAAGACGTGGGTGTGAACTTGCTTCTAAATGTTGTCCAGTCTCTGGCCACTATAACAATGACCTTTGCTGACTCGTTAAGTTATTTCATTCTCCCAAATGAATTATCATAAAAAAGATCATGCATTCAACAGTATATAAAGCACACTCAAATTAATAATTATAATAATATTTAAAAATTAAATAGACATAACTCAAAGATTAGGCAGAAAACTCTAGAAATACTGACTTCGTTTTACAAAAATCTTCTTCCTTCCTTCCTGTCAAACCCAAACCCTAACAAATACACAAACCATGTAAAGCAAATGGGTTTAGTATATTATGCATTTGGTCAGTAATGTATGGATCTGTACTGATTAATCAGAGCAGAAACCAGTTGTGTGATTTAGTCGGTTTGCACCACTTCAGCAGAACCGGTAGCTAATTATTTGTTGCCCAGGCCCAGAATGGATTTCTGGAAGCGGCATCCACACAGAGAACTGGTTGTTCACCTATTTGAATCCCACCACTGGCAGAAACTGATTATGGCAGCAACAGAACACTTACAGTGCAATTGTGTTCCATCTTCTGAGATGAATCTCCAGTAACAAAATCATTACAATTAACTCTTTCTTACTCTACATTCTGTGAACTATTCAATATGCAAAATCATTGCAATTAACTCTTACTCTACATTCTGTGAACTATTCAATATGCATGAAGCATTCTGTTATTGTACCTATACTAATTTCAACTGAAGATCATTGGAAGTGTTTTGTATTATTTAAAAGAACTCTGCATGGTTTATGGGATAGGGTGAGAAGATCATGATTCAGAGATCATATAAATAATTAATATAAATTCCATCAAGTTCTTGTAATGAAAGGTTAGCCGTAGATAATTCATCTTTATCTTCCAACTACCATGGAAATTCAGAATAGTAATAGATAAGCCAAAATAAAGTTATTAACATATGCTTCAGTTCAATTCAGTTCAACTACCATGAGCATTGATTTGAAAATTCTGAAAAAGGATTAAAAACAGTTTCCTCAGAACTGAGTTGATTCAAAATAATGAAATGAAACCCTATTTGGGTTTATTCCCCAAATAGATTTACCCACTATTTAAAAAAAAAAGGATCATCCCTAATGAGATTGTATGATTTTCCATGAGTAAAACATGGAACTATCTCAGAGAGTAGATTAGCAATATAGATGGAGACGTAGATGGTAGATTCAGACATTTTTGGAAAAAGTATTAATGAAATGACATCAGGAATATAAATATTATTAATTCATTTATAATAAATGCATTATTATTTATAATATATTTATTATTATAACATAATTTATTATTAACATATAAATCATATAGTCTCCCCACCCCAACTCCCTGCTAAATTTAGAGAATTTGCCCCTAAATCTAAATTAGCACTGATGAATTCCTGGAATTATTAGGAATATAGTATTTTTTTTTTTTTACTGAAAGGCTGATTTGTGCCATGAAATGTCTGCTTTATCCATTCCAGGAATAATCTGGGGGCTGTAAAAACACACTTGTTTTATGTGTTATGTTTGAGATCTATAATCTATAGGAAGCTATGTTACATGGTTGCAGTTAGACCCAAAGCCTTTGGTTTGCTTTTGGTTTGATGATCACCAAGGTACCTCCCCAACTTCACATATGTTCAAACAGTCAAACCAGGAAAAATGTATTTGGATCATACCAGTCAACCAAATCAACCAATAGTTGATTTGGTATGTGATAGCTGTGAAAAGGGCAAATTCGATGCTAGAAATCATTAGAAAAGGGACTGGAAATAAAACTGCTCACATTGTAATGCAACAGTTCTCAACCTGTGGGTCGCGACCCCTTTGGGGGTCGAACAACCCTTTCACAGGGGTCACCTAAGACCATCGGAAAACACATATTTCCGATGGTCTTAGGAACCAATTGGCGTGGCTCGAGCCCGATTTTTGAAAAGCACTCAAATCAAAGGCGGCGACGTCATGAAAGCAAAGGCGGTGGGGGCCGGGAGAGGAAGAGTCAGCGAGCCCCAGCCAGCAAGTAAGCCCGCCAGCCAGCCAGGCTGAAAAGAAAGAGGCGGGGCCTCCCGAACTCTGACTTTTCCCCCCCTTCCCTCCTTTCCTTTGCAACTTGCAAAGGAAAGGGACCCCCAGACTGAAGCCCGGGAAGGCTGGAGAGTTTTGTGCGGGGTCCCAATTCCCCTTTGCTCCATCACCAGCACCGCCGTCAGACCAGCCAGCTGCTGGGGAGAATTTCCCTTTTTTCCCCCTTCCCTCTCCCTCTTTTTTTAGTGCAAAAAAAAAAAGTCCTAATCTCTTTTTTCCCCTTTTCTTTCCCTCTTCTTGGCTTTTTAAAAATAGCAGCCGAGGGATCTTCAAGCCAATAGTTGTTGCTGGGGCATTTAAAAAAAAAAAAAAAAGTCCTTCCCAGGCGGGGAATCTTTTTGCGCTTCTTCGGCTTTTCTGAGCTGGGGGAGGGGAAAGCTGATTGGGAGGGGTCCTAGGAAGAAGGGAAAGACCCACCAGAGAGGTTCAGCTGCTTTTCTGCTTAAGCAGCCAGCAATGAAAAAGCCCGGAGGGTCGGGTGTCCGGGTTTTTCAATCCCTTATTAAATAGGCAAAGGCTTGATCATTTAATAGTTTGCTCAAACTTTTTAACCTCCCGGATTTATTACCTTCAAATATCAACAAATAAATGGCATATTAAAAAAAAGAAAGAAGTAAATCATAGGAAGAGCCCGTTTAGGAACGCGAGAGAAATAATATTCAAGAGGAGAAGATCGGGTGAATTTGATGCCCCCTAACAGAAGGTGGGAGAGAAAAGTTGGACAGTGGCTTGTTTTATTTGCTCAAAATGCTTTTCAAAGGCTCCAATATGCAAAAGAGGGGAGGGGGGTTGTCAAAAGAAGGCAGCATACCCAGACTTCTGCCAGATTCAGACTGTGTGATCCCCCTTGTTTTTTCCAGTCCAGGCTCTCCCCACCTTACTTTTTCTGCAGAGAAAAAACAAGCCTACTTTTTTTAGAAAATAGTTTCTTTCCATCAGGAAGAGAATGTAAAATGAGAAAAAGATCTCATGAGTTTCAGGAAAAAACCCTTTGGAGAGGTCTGAGGGTATAAGATTGGGAGGCTTTTGTTGAAGTTCCCTCTCCAACCCCCCCCCCCAGCCAAATCTATCCCACCTGGAGACCTATACCTAAGGCAGAATCTCTTTATCCTTGAGGATTCTCTGGTAAAAACTGTCTTTCACATTAACTCAGTTGGTCTCCGTCCGGGACAGGATCCTGCTGACTCTATTTGTGTTATTTGCTAAAGTTATTGGCCATCATTTTAGGCTTCGGTTTTTTTTTCTTTTGCAGGGAGGGGATTAGATGCCGTGCAAAGCCAGCCCCCTCCCCTGCTTTAGTTTACTGCTGGATGCATTAAACCAGCGGTTCTCAACCTGTGAGTTGGCTTTTTACGCATACTGTCGCAAAATGTAGCAATGTAGTTTACTGTTGTTATATTAAGACTGTTACCCATGCTACACCATGCTTCAAGACAAAATTTCATTTATTTGTAATTAGAAATAAATATTTTACAATATATAATTACATATTGTTTTTGTGATTAATCACTATGCTTTAATTATGTTCAATTTGTAACAATGAAAATACATCCTGCATATCAGATATTTACATTACGATTCATAACAGTAGCAAAATTACAGTTATGAAGTAGCAACGAAAATAATTTTATGGTTGGGGGGTCACCACAACATGAGGAACTGTATTAAAGGGTTGCGGCATTAGGAAGGTTGATAACCACTGTTGTAATGGTTTGAAATGAATTGATGCCTACATCTGACATATATGTACATTTTGAATTACCATGATTGGGAAAAGATAGAAAATATCAGAAAAATGTAGAAGAGTGGTTTGTAATACTTAGTTTGTAACCAAAATGCTTGAATACTTGCTGTACGGGGGGGGGGAGCTACAACTTTGGGGATTATGGGGAAAAAAGGCAAATGAGAGTCAAAATAACTGCAGTGTATAAAATCATGTTATCTTCTTGTATTGGACTACAACTCTATTATTTCTAGCAAGTATGGCTCTCAGTGGAATTATAGTCCAACATATCTGGAGAGGACAAGATCAATGACATCTGTTTAAGAGGCTTTGTACGTTGCTTAACCAGTCACCTCAAAAATTATCCTAGCTTAATTTAATTTATTTGGGAAGATTTTAAGAAATGTTATTACTATTTGATTAATTACTAAAAATATTTAATAGTACATTTTGGAAAAAAAAATATTTGTATGTACATTTTTATTTCTTATTTTTAATACAGGCAGTACACCTCACAAGTCTTTTTCATTGCTGCCCTGTGGGGGTCTTGGTGTAAGTAGCTTTTCCTTCTGTTTTCTAGTTAAGTATGTATGTATGTACATGTGTGTGTGTGTGTGTGTGTGTATGTATATGTATATACGCACACACATATATAAAATTGTGAGTATATTTAATGATTGAACATTAAGATGAGCATTAGCAATATAACTATATGTGTGACCATTCAGAGATTAATTCCTATGTAAATGTACTCTGCAAACAAGGAAATAAACTAAAAACCTCATGAATCATATGGGTTCTGAGGATGGATGTAAAGGAAAGACAGAGATTGCATCAAAAATCAATTCTGAATAACGTTATCAATACTATATAAGTAATGGTATAAAAATCCAATGCCATCAGCAAAATACATATGAGATAAGTCTTACACGTATAGCAAATTTATTTTGAGGAAATCATTGTTTTGTAGTTGTTTAAACAAATATTGGACATAAATAAATAACAAAAATGTTGCTTTATGTAAAATCAGTTTCTAGGTTAAGAGGCCTGTGACTTTGGAATCATTTATAACTTGGAAGTGTATCTGCCCTCAAATTCCTTGGATACATCTCAAAAATTGATAACTGTCTACCTCTTTTATGGCTCAGAGGAGGCAACACGAATCACATCAATATTGGCAGCCAATATGAATTTTGACATGCTGTAAAAAGCATAAAAGGGCTTAAGGCATTTGTTTAGTTGAGGAATGGGCTCTCCAGCTGTGTCAGAGCTAAGTTTGGGTTTTGGTCCTGGTACCCAAGGGACCATGCTACAGACAAAAGAGAATTCCACATTTATCTTATAAAATAAGGCAGCTGTCCAATTCAAAGTTTGTTAAAAAAAAAATAAAGGAAAAAAAACACAAGCAGGAACAGAAAGGTCAATGCACAGTGTCAGGTCTTTAAAATTGAATGAGGCTGTGCTGGGGAAAAATGAATGTAACACCTTGTAGGAATCCAGGTATGTTATACAGAAGTGTTAAATTAGTATTAACTTTGTTTCCTTTGGTTGGTTTGGTTATTCTTGGCGCAAAGCAAGATGATATTGGAATACCTGAATATAACTCTGAATAGTGTATTACTGAAAGGCAGAATTAATTTCATTTTAAAAAAGACTTGGCAGCATATCATACAGGTGATGCCCATGAGTCAGAAAACCAATTTATTTTGTATAGTTTAATTACATGTAATTAACATTAACTAAGTAGGCTACCAATGAACATAATGGATGTCAGCAACAGCTATCAAATATTTTCAACACCCCTTAGGAAGACTTTGCCATTTCTGAAGAAAAGGAGATAACAATAATAACAACTTTGTATTTTTATATGCTTCTTTTATAATTTTTGTTATAATTTTATTTTATAGCCTTTCTTACACAAATGGGTCCAATAGCCACTCCTGAGTCTGAAAGAACTTCACAACCAGGATGATCCTCCAGTTCATTGTTTGGATAGTTCTTCACATGTTTCTAGGGATATTCTCAATCACTCAAGTAATGGTTGTCCTAGAGCAGGCATGTCAAACTCGCGACGTCACGTGACGTCACGTGACGTATCAGAGCTTTTTCGCCATTGCTGGCAATGGGGTGGGTGCGGCTCCGGTATGATGAAACCGGCCCACGGGCCGGCAATTTGACACCCCTGTCCTAGAGGTGTTTTTCAAAAGGCAACTGGATTTTCTTGGTTTTTTTTTAATTTGAAAACATTTCACTTCTAATCCAAGAAGCTTCTTCAGTTCCTCTCATGTCATGAATGGGAAGATTCACAATACAATTCTTACTGGAGGAACGGGTTGCCATTGAGATAGAAAGAAGGAAGCAGTTTCATGGTAAAAAATTGTTTTATTCCATGACTTGCTATGCAGCAAGATTATTTACTATTTCTGTCCATTATATTTTTCATTTTTGCGTAGGCTGATAAAACAGGAACTGCAACATTGTGGGTGAGGCAGGACTGTGAAAGCAGAATTAATGATGGCCAAATGCAGAGATGCCATAACTCCTCAATGAGCAAAAAATTTGACTACCTTGTTTGATAAGCAAAATGTAATGTCAAAAAATCCCCACTGTCCAGAATATTTCTTATCCCATATATCCAACTTATCTTTCTATATGAAATTTAAAGAGGAACCTCCTGCCAGAATAACAGTAGTTTTGAAAATAAAAATGGAAAAAGAGTAAATATCTAATTCATATTAGTTGCCTTTAATCTTCCAACCATAGGTATCCTAAAATGGCTGCACATACTTTGCACATCAGCCCTTGGAAACCATGATTACCCCAACTTTAATAATCTGATACACTGTAAACATGTCCATTTGGCTAGAAATTATAATTGTTCCTGTTTTTGCTGTTCTTCCATTCAAGTACTATTTCATGATATGATTTTACTACAACAAAGAACATGAAGTATTCATCTTTCATCAGACAGATAGTCCAACAGTGGGCAGATATTGTGGGACAAAGACTAGTAAACTTATTGAGACCTGATATTCCACCAAAGGAGCAGTTAACAAACATATTGATTTAGTAAGAAACCAGACCATTCGAAGTGCCAATCAACAAGATAACCAATCAGCTGCTCAGAATTCAAATATAGCTCCAAACAACTGACCACACTGGCACACAAGATGCTTATGAGCTAAAGAGAATAGGACAAGAAAATCCAGCTGATGATGTTTCCTAGTTTGGTAACGAAACATTCAGGAATTATATTAGAACAAGCTTGGAGAACAAACCACAGCCAAAAGACTAGTGTCTCCAAATAAGTAAAGGAAGTTTTAAACCTCTTCAAGGCGATTAAAAGGTTTTGCATTCTAAGCAAAAGATTCTGGGAGGACAGTGAAGATAAGACTGCTGTAAATCATCCCCTTTGGTTTATAAGAATCTTCCTAATCACAGGATCTTCTGAACCTTTTGGAAAGTATCAGCAATCTTTCTGACTCAGACAATAATTTTGATGTCCTTCCATTTTGCTTCTTTTTTAAAAAAGCTTAAATTTTGTGAGATTTTGGCTATTTAATCTGAAACTCATCCAAGAATGCCAAATCTCTTTTCACTGGTCTTTAAATTGAAGGAAGTACAGGCTCTCTTTTAGGCTGCAATGGATGCCTTAAAACTGCTTTCCCATAAAATAATAATAATAATAATAATAATAATAATAATAATAATAATAATAATAATGATGATGATGATGATGATGATGATGATGATGATGATGATGATGATGATGATGATGATGATGATGATGATGATGATGATGATAGTGGAGAAACTGGATTGTGCCCATTGGCTCATCTTCAAAAAAGCTCAAATTCAGATCCAATGTATGTTCAACAGAATGTCCAAAGGATCTGTCTAAATTCTCACTGCTGTTTTTCTAGATTCTTCTTTGTATCACTCTATTGAATGTATATACATTCCTTCCCCTACCTGATGCCCTTATTTGATTACTTGCTCTCACAGTCATCATGAAGACTATATATTTTGTCTGTCCACCTATCTATCTATCTATCTATCTATCTATCTATCTATCTATCTATCTATCTATCTATCTATCTATCTATCTATCTACCTACCTACCTACCTACCTATCTATCTATCTATCTATCATCTGTCTATCTATCATCTTTCATCTGTCTATCTATTACTAACAGTCATTCCCATAACTTTTAAGTGGGTGCAGCAGAGCATTGTATGACAATTTTTGAACCAATTTTTGACTAAGTTACAGAATGTGTCAAAAATCTGGGACCTTGACTCCCAGTGGAATTGAAATTTGGCAAACTTTATAAAATATTTTATGGTCTAAAATCCATCATAAAACGGTTTATGACATAATACAAGATGTTGTAAAACATTTTCTGTGCTGATGTCAGTATCAACATGGGCTGTTTTCAAGACAAATACATTTCTGAATCCCACCTTTTCTAATCCAGGCCATACTTTAGAAGTTCTATTGTTGAAGGCATTGAGGAATTTATAAGGAAATATCTCTGAGAAGAGGCTGTCTAGTGTTGGTAAGAATGATGGGCACTGTAGAACGACATATCTGGAAAAGACTAATATTTAAAACTTCTATTTGGACCTTTATCCAAGCTCCTCTACTACTTCACTGCTGTATTTTTGAGAGGTATGAGAGAGAGAAAAGTTACTCTCAGAACATATTACATGAGCTTTTTTATTTCCATAGGGAAAAACAGAAAACTTTTTGCATGCTGTAGGTAAAAATCCAGTAGCTTCCACAAAGAATAAATGCAAATTAATTTTTATTTAAGCCATGCAATCTGTTTAAATAACTCCACATACACTTCAGGGACAGGTAGTTTAATTTCTATCATCTGTGACTTTATTAAGGTCTAGTTTTGCTACACATGTCAGTGATTGAGCTATGCTGGAAGTATTTGCAAAAGCTTGCAAGTGCTATGTTCATTCAGGAAACTCTGAATGAAGTAAATCCATATGTGCCTTAAAAGTCTTAGACTTCAGAGTGGGATTGCGTATTCTGGCTTGTAACATTGTCATGAATGATTCTGACTGTTTAAAGTGTTACTAAAACCTGAACAAGCTTGATGTCTCAACTGAGTGCACTTATATTTCAAAACTTTCTGCTTTTAAAAAGCCTGTTGATGTTAATTATTTCATGGTTATTTATAGTATATATTATCTACTGCACCATGTATATGTAATACTGATGAAGCTTCAAAAACCTCTCAGAGACAGAACAGGGGTGGTGTCAACAGGTACATTTTCAGACAGTTACTAATGGCCAACAATTACTAACATTACTGCTTGAGGGATATGTGACACTGGAATTTCTTACGAAGTCCAGACTTTATCAAGCAAATTAAAACTTTAAATTAAAGCAAGCCTTTCCTGAATCTGGAGTCCCTCACTCAGTCACTCAAGCCCCAGTCATCTCATGTTTGGACTACTTCAATATACTCTACATGTGGCTATCCTTGAAGAGTATTCAGAAACTACAACTAGTGCAGAGTACAGTGGGTGGGCAA